CCCTCCTCCGGGTACTCACCCTCCTAATCTCATTCACAGAGGGTTCCCGGAGAAGGGCTTTCTCTGCGGTGGCGCCCCATCTATGGAATGCACTCCCCAGAGAGGTCCGCCTGGCGCCATCGTTATTTGTTTTTCGGTGCCAGGCTAAGACCATTTTATTTAAAACTTATTTTAATTGCTAAATTATTGTATTTATTAGGATTTTAAATTAGCCGAGAATGCACCGGGGGTTTAAAATGGGTTTTGTTTTTTTTTGTATTTTTTGTGAGCCGCCCTGAGGCTTTGTTGCGATGGGGGCAGCATAGAAATGTTTTAAATAAATAAATAAATAAATAAATAAAATATCAACATTAGCAACAACTGTTTGTCTAAAAACATTTTGAAGTTTGAGGATACATGTGCTGTGTTGCCATTCCCTTTATGTCATTAGATTACTTTTAAACTGTTTGCCTTAAATTTGGAAATTTATGTGATGGGAACTAAAGATTCCTGTTACTATTTTTCATTGTAGGTGATGGATGATTTTTCAAGGCAGGTTGATAGGATAGACTGGCCTTCTGGATCCCCAGCAACAATAAACTACACAGCGTTGGACAGCTACCTTAGTAAATACCAGGTAAGATTGAACCAAGTAGGTATTGAACTACTCATTTGAAGGGGAAGAAGCTGTAAATTGGGTATTTGTGTAAGGTCACCAGCTCAAGACATGCAGCATGGTATCTTTTGTAGGAAATGGGTACTGGGGCAAGTAGACAAAAAGGTTTACTGGGAGAAGGAGGCCCATTGCAGAAGGATTCTTCGCAAGGCTGAGGCTGATTATGAGCTGAGACTTGCAAAGAGTATCAGGAGCAACAAACGGGGCTTCTATCAACACATAAATAACAAGAGGAAGGAGAGACAGGCGGTGGGACTGCTTAATAAGGAAGAAGGAGATGCAGTGACTGATGTGTGGGAACAGGCACAGGTGCTAAATGATTATTTTGCCTCTGTGTTTTCTCCAAAGCAGGACAGGGGAGGGACCGGATGAGGCCAGTCATTTAGGGACACAGATTAGAGTCACCCCTCCAGAAGTCGAGGAACTCCTCAGGCCACTGGACATTACAGAAGCGCCAGGCCTTGCCCTGACAGGTTACATCCAAGGGTACTTTAGGAGTTGGGGGGGGTTCTCTCACACCCACCGGCCTCCCTTTTTGAGGCCTCGTGGAGAATGGATGCGATTTCAGAGGACTGGAGGGTGGCATCAGTGCTCCAAGTTTTCAAAAAGGGTAGTAGAGGGGACATGGGGACAAGACAAACCAGTTAACTTTACATCCATTCTAGGAAAGACAATGGAAAGGCTCATAATAGTGGGAGATCTAGTGACCCTAGATAGGGAAGGGAGCTTGGCAGCCACAACAACAGGTCCTGCCAGACGAACCTTGTGGAATTCTATGACAAGGTGGCTAGACGGAGGGAACACAGTGGATGTGGTTTATGTGGATTTCAGCAAGGTCTTTGACAAAGTGCTGCATGATCTCCTGCTTGAGAAATTGAGGCGCTTCGGGATGGACTGATGCACTTCAGGGGTGTTCCAGGACAGGTTGGGCATGTACATGGTAGGCATGTCAGGAGCGAAGCTGGCTGGAGCCGAGGGTCAGACTAGATGGCCCAGGAGACCCCTCTGACTCACTCTATTTTTAGGTTTCTGAACTGAAATAGATTTTATGTTATTGGCTACTGGAATGTGTTGCATAATTTTCACTCAAATGTTGTCTTACATGTTTTTTTACTAGCATTCAGTCTGCTAATTTAAAAAAAATCAATTGTTCTTACTGAATCACTGTCTGATATACTTTGATCTAAGATGTTGCTTTGCTAGTAACATTAATCTCACATGTATGATTACTGCTTGTTTTTACTATATTGTGTAAGACGTGGCTTACAAGAACTCATGATATTTATTTATTTATTTATTTAAAACATTTCTATGCCGCCCC